GGTACACTAATGTGTACACTAATTAGTGCATATAACATTATTCAAAATTATGTCACATCATCTGTTGGTATACTAGTGTGTACAATAATTAGTGCATATAGCGTTATTCATAATCGGTAGTGCTACATGCACCGATTAGTATACTAACTAGTATACCAACACTAGTTATGAGATTATTATTGACCTCACTCATTATACAAATTAAAAATAACAAAAACCTCTTAAATTATGTCACATCATTAATTGGTACAATAATTAATACATACAATATTATTTTTTTAATAACTTATAAATTAAAATTTTAAATTTTCAAGAAACCGTGATGAGACGTCACAAGATAAAGTATGTTTGGTTTGCATTTGGGAGATGATTTTTAGAAAAAAATTTCTAAAAAATTGTTTGGTTTGAGTTTTTTTCAAAAAATTTTCAAAATCACTTTCTCTCTTACACATCAATCAATCATTTTTTCTCTCACACACATCTACTCAAATTCTCCCAAAATATCAAATCATCCAAAACTCCCAAAAAAATAACTCTCCCAAAATATACAACCAAACAAACCAAAAAAAATTTTAAACTCTCTCTCCAAATTTTTTTTCAAAAACAATTCTCCTAAAAACAAACCAAACAAGCCCAAAAATTTTATAATTTATATTTTGTAGTGTACTATTGTTGATGTTACATTATTATTATTTTTTATACATGTAAAAATATTATACAGTTACTTATTTAAATGTTCCGTTCAATTTATGAATATAAATATAATAAAAAAATTATGAGAAAATACAAATAATTTACGTTTCTTAATCATTTAGTATATAAGAAAATTTATGTATTTCAAAATGAATGTATAATCTTATACATATTACAGAAAAATAATTTGAGAAAAAAATATTTCATTAAAGAAAACAATTACGAAAATTGAACCTAACTAATGAAAAGAATAACAAATGTGAGTATAGTGGGCCCAGGGCATGATTGGTAGTTGGTGTTACAGATTATTGTTGATCTAACTAACACAAATAAACGTGGGGATAAATTTTATTTATTTTTTTTTTTTTGTGGGTAATAAGATGTTATAGATACTTAGGCCTAGTTTGGCATGTTGTAAATAATTTAAAAAATTAAAAAGTTATTAAAAAGTTACCATTATTTACTAAGAAAAAAAATAATAATAATTTTATACAAAATTATTGCAACACATTATGCCGTCCACATACTTTTGAAATGAACTTTATGGAAAAATTGCATAGGATCGGTTCACAAATAACAAGGTCCCGTTCGGCCCATGAGGGCCCATTATGGATCCCATTTTGATAATCTGAACCGTTCAATGTGTAGAACTCGTCGAGTACTATGTGTTTATAAAAAATCACGTTGATCGGATATCGCTAACTACATGATCAAAATAGTTTTGTATAAAAAAATGGATGGTGTTATAGTTAATGGTTGAAAAAAAACTAATCCGATCAGATAACTATCGATATCCGATCAACGTGATTGTTTACAAGCGTATAGTACTCGACGAGTTCTACACATTGAACGATTCAGATTATCAAAATGGGATCCATGATGGCCCCCACGAGCCGAATAGCACCGTCCAATGTAATGCCTGAAAAATATGCAACTAACTCTTATGTCATACTTCTCTGCTAGACAGGTCGGCCGTCCTGCTACTCTCCCAACCTTCTCTTCCACACTTTCTTATACAATTTTTTAATATATATTTTTTTCATAAAAAATCAAAAAGTTAACCCAAGCTTCCATATTTTTTTCTTCAACTTTTTAATCCAAAAAGATAAAAAAATATACTTATTTATGACACCCCAAACAATCTCTTAAACAAAGTTAAATACAAGTTTGGGATACAACGTGCCTAAAGCGTCATTACATAATTTATCAGTAATAAATCTAGGCAAAGTAGGAGATTAGATTGTTAAGTTAATAATGCCATGGAAATGACTTGTTTACAAGCTGTTGAACTGTTAAAAAGTCAATAATATAAAGAACACTTTGTTTGTTCCATTTAAATTTAATTTTTTTATTTTTTATCAGATCAATCTATTATAACTTTTTATAAATATGAACGAATTAATCATCAAGATAGATAAAATGATACAACACACATAACCAACTAGGCAATCATTTACTCCAAGTTAGAGAGAAACTAGTTGATTTCAAAAAACAAAAAATAAAAAACAAAAACAAAAACAAAAAAACTAATAACTCTGTCTAAAATTTGTGAGCAAATTTTATAATATTAGGTGAAGGTTAAAAATATTCAATAATATGTAAAAATTAGGAACAACTACTGAAAATAGAAAGTGGGACAATCAATTACAAAATGATCATAAATCTATTTTAATTATAGTAGGTGGATCGCAACAAAAAAAAAAAAATGTAAACATCATGAGAATTTATACATACTTTTACATTTTTTAAAAACATTTTTGTTCCTTTCATTTTTTACTCTTCTTTCTTTCATCTCCTGTCTACTTGCTCATTTATTTCTTACTTCTGCAACTCGCCACCATGGACTTCTCTTCCAACCATTATCATTGCCACCTTTTTTCAACCACAACAGTTCATTTTCGACATCGTAACTACCACCTTTACGCTTTCCCACTATCGATAGCCCTTCTTTCGCCACCTCACAACCGCATACTCCATCATTGGGATCTATTTTACTAGATTGAGCACCACAATAGCTCTACTACTACGATCTTTCACTATAGGAATATTCTCCACTGCAATTAGTACCACCATAACCTTCAAATCTGTTTTATATCCTCTTTATCTTTTTATGTGTGCTTTGTTTTTTGGCAATGACTAAAGCGTGGTTCGACGTTGGAAGGACGAGACTGAGGTGGAGGTGAGCGGACGCAGTTAGGATAGGGCTGACAAAAGTGAACAGGTGGTCAAATAAATGTGCCTAATGTTGGAAAGGATAGAGCAAGAGTTGGCGATGACTATGGATAATGGGTTGAGACTAGAGAGAGTTAGAGAGGGTAAGGATGGGGTTAATAGCAGTTATGGGGAGGTAAGGAAGTGGGTCACTAGTGATTGTAAAGGGTGAGGAGGGGGGTGAAATATAGGGGAAAAGAAATGGAAAGAAGGGGTATTTTGGTCATTGAATTGGTAAATTTCACTGTAATTTTTGTTTAGCTAAATTACACTGATATCTCCTGAGGTTTATATTTATTACAGCTCTCCCTTCAACTTTTGGAAATTACATCTCCCTCCCTGAGGTTTAAAGTTTCATTACAGATTTCCCTATCGGCAATTTAATTTTTTAAATATCAATTTTTCCCTCACTGGGTAAATTACATTGACACCCCTTACATTTTAGAAATTACAATCCCCTCCCTAAGGTTTAAAGTAGCATTACCAATTTCCCCCTCGGTTAGTATTAGTTGGAAAAAAAAATTCATTGAAACAAAAAATTAATTGGAAAAAAAAAAATTTATTTGAAAAAAAAAAATTAATTGAAATTTTTTTTGTTAATAATTTTGTTTAAAAACCAACGTAAACTCATTTTTTGAATTTACGTTTTTTTTTCAAATTTATAAACTGAGACAATAATTTATAAATTAAAAAATTATCAAACAAGTTTGTATAATGGTTTTTAAAATTTTTGTAAATATAAATTGAAAACTGAAAACGAAATAGTTACCAAACAGGTCTCCGATGGTAAAAATGTCATAAAATTAACAAATAATTAAATAAGTTACCAATGTAAGAAATGACTTATCAAAAGATTTTTAGGCTATGCATGGTTTGATTTTTAGAATTTTTTTTTAAAAAATTAAAAATTAATTTGGTTAAGAAATAAAAAATAAAAAACAATTATCATTTAAGGGTAAAAAATAATTATCATTTTAACTTTTGAGTAGGTTATATACATACGTATAACTGTTTCAATTTAATTTATAAAAAATTATTTTTAGCCATTCGAAAGATAGAAATTATATAAAAATGATAATTATTTTTTTATTTTTATTTTCAAACCAAATTAATTTTTAATTTTTAAAAAAATTTCTAAAAATCAAACCATACATAACCTAAGAATCTTTTGATAAGTCATTTCTTATGTTGGTAGTTTATTTAATTATTTGTTAATTTTACGACATTTTTATCATCTGAGGCTTGTTTGGTAACTATTTCGTTTTCAGTTTTCAATTTATATTTACAAAAATTTTAAAAACTGTCATAAAAACTTGTTTGATAATTTTTTTGGTTTATAAATTGTTGTCTCAGTTTGTAAATTTGAGAAAAAAACGTAAATTCAAAAAATGAGTTTACCCTAGTTTTTAAATAGAAATTTAAAAATTTTACTAATAATTTTTTTTTAAACTAATTTGTTTTTCAATGAATTTTTTTCCAACTTATGTTAACCGAGGAGACAATTGGTAATGCTACTTTAAACTTTAGGGAAGAGATTGTAATTTTTAAAATGTAAAGGGTATCAATGTAATTTATCCAGTGAGGGTAAAATTAGTATTTAAAAAAATTAAATTATCGAAAGGAAGAATTTGTAATGAAATTTTAAACCTCAAGAGAAGAGATGTAATTTTCAAAAAAATAAAAAAAAAATTATAATAAATATAAATCTAAGTGGTGTCGGTCTAATCTACCCTTTTTGCTTTTATACCCTATTTTTAAAATAATTGCCTCACCTTTTAAGAAATCACATTATTTTCACTTACCTTGATCACAATTTACCTGACTGTCATCATCATAAAAGAACAAGAGCGATCATAAGAGTCTTCAGACATTAATACCGCGTGTTTTTCACGGGAATGCTTGCACGTTACTCTCTCACTACTCATTTTTTCTCTCAGAATAAATAAAAATTACTTATTATAAACTAACTTCCAAAAAATAATAAATAAAAAAATATTCAGAAAATAAAATTTTAATTCACCAGTTTATCTGTGGACTTAAAAATTTATTTATTTTTTAATTTTTATGAAATTAAAAAAAAAAAAATAACGCGGCTGCTATACACCAATACCAGAGTCTCCCTCTTCCTGTCCAATTCCTGTCTCTGCTCACCGATTTCAGCTTCAGAGATCGAACAAGACGATCCAAACTCAAAATCCACCAATTTCGATCATAGATCGCGAAACCCAGTTTTTTGACCGAGTACTATTTCGATTTGTTCTTCAACAGATTTGTTTGGGGTTGTTTTGTTCGGTGAAATCGACGATCTCGATCGATTCAGTGAATTCATTCATGGGTTTTGGCGTTTTTTCCATTTTTTGAGATGGGTCGAAGAGATTTCTGGTTTTCGAGGTAGGGTTGCGGAGGAAGGTATTGGTCAGGGGAGGGTTTGAAAGGTCTTGGGGTTGTAAATTTTTTTTTTTTGGGATGATTTCTGTGGGGAGTAGGGATGCAAGGAAGGGGTTAGGTCTAGGGTTTGATTCTGGAGGAGAGATGGAAGAGAATGAACTTGAAGAAGGCGAGGCTTGCTCTTACCAGAACGATGATGATTCAACCATTGACCCTGATGTTGCTCTCTCATACCTTGTAAGACTTTTTCTTTTTTCTTCACTTTCTAACTAGTTTTTGATCTTATATATATATCTTGTGAGAAATTGTTTTTTTAATTCTGTATTTCTTGTTAATTTTTGTATTGACCGCCTTGTTCTTAGATCAAACCTGTAAATCTCAGTTTTAGGAGACTGTATTGGTTAAAATACTGTAACTTTGCTTTATTCATAAATTTTGTGCAATTTATTTGTGTCGGAAAACCCTAGAAGTTTTTTTTTTTGGCCCGGGAAAGAGAGGAATTGCTTTCAGTACTCAGATTTTGTTGATTATAAAAGGGGTAAAGGTTTTGTTGTCTGTATTCGCTTGATTGAATATCACCGCTAACCTTTTTTTGGTCCCAAACCTATGGATAATAATTAGTCTATATTTTTATGGAGGCTGGAAAGAATGCGTGATTAGTCAATAAATGTGATAAATTGTTGGTTATAACTCCTTGTTCAAATTACCACTGATGGGGTGTGTAGTGTGTCCCTTGACCACTCGAGTTTTGGAGTTATTCAATGCCACTTCTTTTCCTTTCATTTAGGAGAGAATGTGTACTTTGTATAAGTACCATTTATGTTAGAACTGAAAACTTTGTCCTATTTATATCAATTCAAATGCATATCGGAACCTTAGGGATGAGACTTAGCATATCTGTTCACTTGTGATGGGGTCGTTATATGTAACTGCAAATTGGTATAAGCGTTGGTGGCTGTACTATGTAGGATCTCTATATATCTATATTCCTGCATATGTAATTCAAAGGTTTAGATTGTCTTGATTTCAATCTCTGCTATCACTGCTTGAGTGTATCTATCTCTCACACTTTTATTTATTTATATTTTACTTTTCTTGCTCTATGTTTTAATTTAAATGATTACTGTTCCCTTTTAAAGGATGACAAACTTCAAGATGTTTTGGGACATTTTCAAAAAGATTTTGAAGGTGGAGTTTCAGCTGAGAACTTGGGTAAGTCAGACACAAAAACTACAAAATTTTGTCGTATTCAAAGACCCGCATTTATGTGGAGCTATGCTATGAAGTGATGCGTTGAGGATTTATTCATTTTAACAGGGGCAAAATTTGGCGGTTATGGTTCATTTCTACCCACCTATCAGCGCTCTCCTGTTTGGTCTCGTCCAAGATCTCCATCAAAAAATCATGACTACAGCACGCCTAAATCCCCAAACAATTTGCACCTGGAGGTAGAAAATTAATGAATTTGGGCCTTCTTTTGTTTTTGTGAACTGTTCTTTGTTGTTAAGGAGGAAGTAGGACTGTCTTGGTTAAAATGGGAATTCTGGTTTACCTGAGCACTTTGAGTTGTCTCATTGTACAGGGTGGCCGTCATAACTCTGTAGTTCCATCTAGTGCATCTCTGTCAGCGAGACATGGGCCGTCTTCTACAAATGCCGCATTGCTCCCTTTGCTGAGGTCTTCCAATAATGATTCATCAAAAAGAGACATAGGCATGTCATCAGCACATTGTGCTGAGGAATCCAATTCAAGATGTGAACTTGTGAAAAACTGTGCTCAGCCTTCTGACCAAAAAACACTGAAGGTTCGAATCAAAGTGGGTTCTGATAATTTGTCGACGCAAAAAAATGCTGAAATCTATAGTGGTCTTGGCCTTGATATCTCGCCCTCTTCCTCATTGAATGAAAGCCCCACCGACAGTGAAGGGTTTTCACACGAACCTTTGGATGCCCCAGAAGAATCCCCAACTAGTATTCTTCAGGTAAGTCATGTCGCTGTATTAGTTTAATATAGTATTCCAGTTTCTTTTTTCCTGAATTGACCTGAAAATTATCAGATTATCTTACTTGTTTTGGCTTATATGTTGGAGCAGATTATGACATCATTTCCAGTGCATGGAAATCTATTGTTGTCCCCTCTTCCGGATGATCTGATTTACATGACTGAAAAGGAAAAGCTTAAAGGAGAAATTAAACCTAGACGTGTGATCAAGAGTAGCCAAGAAAGTTCAAATGGATTTGATTCTGCTAGGGGCAATGACAAAGTTTTAGGAGGCAAGAAACTTAAGCCATTTGAGAGAAATGCCTTTTCAGTGGAATTGAAGAATCACATTGATAAGGGCACTCAAAATGGCATTGGTGTTCCGTTGAAGAAAGAAACAGACATTGACACTTTGGCTTGTGAAGAACTTGTTGCTAATACTCTGAAGCTTCCACTTCTATCTAATTCATATTCTAATGTTGCCAACCCTGACAAGGGTACTACGAGAGCGGCTAATAACTCTATGGTAGCTAATAAGGTGAAGGAAGAATCTTTCTCTGATCTAGCTAAAGTGGAGACCCTGGAGGGATTACCGAACCAAGAGATTGGCTTGGTTGAGAAGCCTAATGGAAAGGCGGTGTCCGATGTTAAGGTTTGGGAAGAGAAGAAAGCGAATTTTCGAAATGACATTTCAGCCTATCCAAGGAAGGATGGTAATTTCAAAGTAGAAAAAGCTGATGGTTTTGCCAAAGATGACTCAAATGTCTCTAAGGCGAGGAAAGCTCAAAGTGCTGAACCCATTGATCCTTTGGAGCAGAAGGCTAGTAAGAGAGCTACATCTCATGATGAGGATAACAAACAATTGGTTACCGGGAAGGAGCATTCATCCTTGGGGGGCAAAAAGAAATCTAAAGGAAGTCAAAGTGCAGAGGTTCCAAAAGACAGCTCAAGGATGGATTCTGCTTTGGGGCCCAAAAATAGGAAGAGCACATTTGCCAATAATTATCTGTCTAAAGGTGAAGTGGAGGATTCCAAATTGCAGAAGGATTATGGAAAGGCAAGAAATACATACAGAGATTTCTTCGGGGACATAGAACTAGAACAGGGAGATAATGATGTGGATTCAGCAGATATGCTTTCGATTGATAGGCCGGAGGACTTTGAAGCAGTTGAGAAAAACACATTTGCATCTAATAGCACATCAAAAGAAAGGTTAAATGGGAAGAAAATGGACAAGCCATCTATATCAGAGGCATATTCGAAAGCACCTTTGAGTGCAGCTCCAATCAATAGAAATGGACTCATTTCTGATGCAGCTTCCGGAACAGCGGGCCCCCATGACAAAGAAGATTGGGTGTGCTGTGACAAGTGTCAGAAATGGCGGCTTCTTCCACGTGGGACAAATCCTGACAGCCTTCCTGAGAAGTGGCTTTGCAGCATGCTTGACTGGCTGTAAGTTCTATCACATCAGATTTTAACCATTTATACTTGTGATAGTTGATTAAATCCTGCACTAATTTTTGCCTAGGAACCCTTGTTCTAAATCGTTTTGGTTGTTTTGGCCATAAAGTTTGTGTCTATGAAGCATAGACACGGACATGCGACACGACACGGACACACGGACACGCAAATTTTCAAAAAATGGAGACACGATGTGCTGGGGACACGTTCAATATATATTATTAAATTTATTTATTATATGTCATAAAATTAATAAACACATCATTAAAATTAACAAAAAAAAAATTGTTCTTATAAACTAATCAACAATATATATATAAATAAATAAGACAGACAGACTGGGAGAAAAGCCACCAAAAAAAAAAAAATTGAAGAACAAAAATAAAAAATAGAAGAGAGCGAGCGAGAGCGAGAGCGAGAGCGAGAGAGAGAGAGAGAAGGGGGGGGGGGTTAGAATCAGCATAAAAGAAAAAGAAAAAAAAGAAAAGTCGAAGAGAGGAGAGGACAGAACATAAAAGAGAGAGAGAGTGAGAGAGAGAGAGAGAGCAAGGAAGAAGAAGATCGAAAGAAGAAGAGAATCGAGCAACATACCTTCAATAACAGCGAAAGCAATGACAAGCGAGCACTGACCAGCAACAAGCCACCAACGACCAGCGACGAGCCTTTCTCTCAGTCCCTTCTCTTCTCTGTGTTCAAATCCTAGGTCAGCAATTGATTTCATTTGTTTAATTTTTGTTTTTTACAAATTGATCCCCACTTGAAGTTTCAGAAATTATATTTCTAACCCCGCGGTGTCCCGAACATGTCCAAACGTGTCCCTTACATGTCCGTCTGCAAAAAAATCAAAAAAAGAAAAAGAAAAAGGGACACTCTTTAGCGTGTCGAACACGTGTCCGCCGCATGTCCGTGCCCGACATTGGTACGCGGCCCTCAGAGAGGTGTCCGTGCTTCATGGGTTTGTGCGTAGTAACTTACCATAGCTGGAGAAACAAAAATCAGATTAAGGAGAATACGTCAAAAAGCTGCTAGTTACAACATTATGCTGGACAAAACAAATAGAAAAACAATAAATTGGTTCCACTTTCTCTTTCTGATGAAGCTTGATTGCTTTACTATTTTAACTCATCAGACAGCATGGTAGTGATGATTGACAACATTGTGGATTGGTTTCAGTTACAATTTAGTATGCCTAGGGCAATGATATTTGACTAATGAGAATGCATAAGAGATCTTGATTAAAAGTGTTTCTTATATGGTGAAAAAAATAATAGATTGGTTCAAATGCTACTCACTCGTGGTTCTTGATCATTTCACTGACTTCATATTTACCTAGGCCTGGAATGAACCGGTGTATTTTTAGTGAGGAGGAGACAACTGCAGCGCTAATCGCAAGTTATCAATTTCCAGCTCTTGAGAGTCAAAATAATCAGCATGGTTATCCTGGTGGTGTTCTACCTCGACTGTCCATGACTGATGGTAGTCGTTTTGATCAAAACCAGCCAAATCTTGGTTTCCAAGCTGTGCCTAGTGGTGGAAAGAAGAAAAACGGAATAAAAGATGAATCGGCTGCAATGAACCAAGATGGTCCTGCACAGTTTTCTAACTCTACGAAGAAGAAGCTTCCGGCATCAGTGAGAAGTAGAAGCTTAAATGGTGTGAACCACTCTCCTTCAGCAAATGAAATTGAATCTCAGCATTTAAGCAAGTCTCGTGTGGTGGAGAAACACAGACATAAGCAGAAGGACAAGAATAGACTACTCGAACACCATTCTGATGGAGGTATTGCATTTTAAGTAGACATTTCTCCTGCTTTTGTAGAACTAATTTATCTGAAGAAGGATTGTAATTTATTTCCTTGATGTAATCTGCACAGGTGAAATTAGGTCCTCCAAGAGCAAAAGCAAAAGGGACACTGATCAAGATTGTTTCAGAGTTTCTAAGAAAGCTAAGGTAGACGGTATGCATCGCACTGATGAAGATTGGATGCCTAACCATGATAGACCTGTGGGGAAGGGGGGTCCTAGCTCAAGTAATGGTTTGTCAGTAAATGCATCCGCGAGAGATCGGCAAAAATATGAGGACCATCCTTCTAAGGACAGAAAGTGGGAGGCAAATAACAGCTCAAAAGGTCCTCTTAGTAATCCAAAAGACCAAGTTCTGGTTACCTCAGATGGTGGATCCCCACATATGGAAAAAATTGATGATAAAGAAGTTGCTAGGAAGAGGAAAATGAATGGAAGTCAGGATACACATGTTTATACCACGTCCCTCCTTAGTAACAATCAAGTTCATGATAGGAGGGATTTTCTGGAAGAGACTAGTGAAAATGATCACAGGAGGGAAAAGAAGGCAAGAGTTTCCAATTCTGAAGGGAAAGAAACCAGTGTCAGCAAATCCTCTGGTGGAGCAGCCAAAAAAGGTGGAAGTACAAAGGACCAGCAACTGGGTCCAGATATAGGGAGTAATCTGGTGGATTTAGGGTCAGTACAACCTTCTCAGGCAGCCACATCAAGCTCTTCAAAAGTTTCTGGTTCCCATAAAAACCAAACTAGCCTGAAGGAAGTGAAAGGCTCACCAGTAGAGTCAGTTTCTTCTTCTCCTCTGAGGTTTTTAAATCCAGATAAGTCTGCATCAACAAGAAGGAGCCTTGAGGGGAAAGATGATTCTGGAGATGCTGGTTTATTTGCCACAGGTACTCCAAGAAGATGCTCAGATGGTGAGGATGACAGGGGGAGCAATCGATCCGGTACAGTCAGGAAGGATGAAACTTTTGCTGCTCATCGTGGGTCTCTTGAATCCTCTGTGCTTGATTTCCAGGAGAGGAATATGGTTCATTTAGCTGGTAGTGAAGCAAAAATACAGATTGTACATTCTCCTGAAATCTCTAATCGCCATTTTGCTAATGGCGGTACTGACACCCTTGGCAATGGTACTCAATACCCTTGCAAACCACAGACTTCGGATCAATGCCATAATGAGGAAAGAGGGAATGACAAGCAGTATCATGCTAATGTGTCTCGTCCAAGGAAGTCCGGGAAGGGATCCTCATCACGGTCGAAAGAAAATAATGGGGCTTCTCAATCTGATCCTGATAAGGGTAAGGTCAAGATTTCTGATCCTTGCCATGAATATACAGATCATACACCTTATGAAGAAAAATCAAGGGCTGGAAAAAACAGGGTTCAGGAGAAATCTCGGGTTGGTTCAGATAGAGTTGAAAAGAATTTCGTTGGTGAGAAAGTATCTGCAGGTAAAGTTGCAGCTGAGAATAGTAAAAGAGAGAGTCGATCAAAATTTGGAGGGGATGATGGGTTGGATGTTAAAGTAGATGCTCTTTCCAGCCAGGATCAGAAGCAGAATCTGCGGCTTGACCGTGATGAAAGATCTTCAAAGAAGTATCTTTCCAACAAAACAGATAGGATAGAAGTCTCTGGGAGAGGGAAGTCACACTCATTGCCACCGTCTGGAAGAGGTCAAAATGAGACAGTAACACATTCTGTCCATTTAGTTCCTGGATCCCAGAAAGAGAATGGAGCAAATAGTTTGTTAATTGATGCTTCCAAAGCTGATGATGCTTTAAAGGCTCCAAAGAACATAAAAAAGTCAGAGAACCAGAATGGAAATCAACCCATTAAATCAAGACATCCCACAACCAATGGCCATAGGGTCAGGGATGTGGATGCCCCAAGTCCTGTCAGAAGAGAATCCTCCAGTCAGGCTGCCACGAATGCCGTAAAAGAGGCGAAGGATCTTAAGCATCTGGCTGATCGCCTTAAGGTCCGCACATATTTTGTATTTTTCTTCTAATATGGAATCGCTGTTATTCTTCTTCTAATTCTTGGCACTATTTGGCGGGTCTTCTGCAGAATTCTGGATCAAATTCTGAAAGTACAGGTCTTTACTTCCAGGCAGCCCTCAAGTTTCTACATGGAGCCTCTTTATTAGAATCTTCCAACAGCGAGAGTGCCAAGCAAAGCGAGATGATCCAGTCAATGCAAATGTATAGTAGCACTGCGAAACTCTGCGAGTAAGTTATACTCAAAGCTCTATGACGGACCTTTTTGTTATTGAGATGTATGCTCTATGTGTGCTTGGTTGAAGTGGTTTGTACAATTTGACCCGGTGACCATCTTGCTAAGAAGTGCATTTTGTGTAACACGGTGATATATATATATATTTTTTTTGATAAATATTTTGTGCAACATGGAGATCAAAATCTCGCCCCTTGAAATTTAGGTTTTGTTTCTTTCTTTCCTAAACCTTAAAGTGGGATTCTATATTTTGCAATTGAGGTCAAAATGCTTAAAATGCCAATGCACCTTGAACAGGCATTCCCCAAACCTCATGCTGGTTTCACAACTATTTTCTATGTTCTTCTCTTACTATTAACACCTAATTATTGTTGTTTCATTAAACCCTCTTGTATAATGATGCGCATATCTTGTTCAACCCATCTGGGGAAAGGAACCTTTTTTTTCCCTTTAATATATTCAAGGTGCTAATGGATCATTTCCCACAATCTATAATGCACCATACTTTTTGAGAACCTTACCTAAAACTAGGGTTGGAAAGTAAATTCCAAGTGCCATTTTTATTGATGATTTCTAATTTTTGGAATGTGAAAGGGCTTATTTAACTCTCATTTCTTTGTCTTTTTCTATTGATAGGTTTTGTGCCCACGAATATGAGAAATCTAAGGACATGGCTGCTGCTGCTCTGGCCTACAAATGTACGGAGGTGGCGTACATGAGGGTAATTTATTCCTCACATAACAGTGCAAGCAGAGATCGACATGAATTGCAGGCGACTTTGCAAATAGTACAGCCTGGTAACTAGAATAAACTTTGATCTGCAAAATATGTTGTATGTGTCAATGATTAGTTGCAAAGAAATCTAGCAGTAGTGAACTTTATTGTTTTTCTATAAGCAGTTCTGCAATCTTTTATTTTGGCATTCCATCAAAAAATGGCCATTTGCTGGTGGGTAAATGAGATGCTAGGCTCCCACCATACTTTTAGTTGATCTGACATGCTTCCCATTATTGCTTTTATTAGGTGAATCTCCTTCCTCCTCTGCTTCCGATGTTGATAACTTAAACAACCCAACAGCAGTAGACAAGGTTCCCTTATCTAAAGGTGTTAGCTCTCCTCAAGTTGCCGGAAACCATGTTACTGCCACACGAAATCGCCCCAGCTTTGTGCGGCTGCTCAACTTTGTGAGTATATATAGAAACTCGGTTTCATCTTTAAATGTTTCTGTATTCTGAAAGGAAGAATTTGGCTTTTGGCACAAGTACATCTAAAAGTAAATGAGATCGTAAAAAATTTGGAATATCTCAGAAATAGGGATAATGTTAGGAAGTATCCCGGAGCGTTTCCTGATAGAGATAGATAGATTACTGATATGCCACTTTTGAGGAAACACGTATAAGAAAGCCAGAATGAGTTCTTATTGTTATCTCATAAAAAGAAGGTTTATAATTTGGCTCAATGTTTTTTTATTATTATTATTATTTATATTTATGCTTTTAGCATTTTAAAAGGTGATTGATTATCTGCAGGCCCAGGATGTAAATTACGCAATGGAAGCTTCAAGAAAATCCCGAAGTGCTTTTGCAGCTGCAAATCCAAGAATGGAAGAGGCTCAGCATAGGGAGGGTTTAACTTCTGTTAAAAGGGCTCTGGATTTCAATTTCCAAGATGTTGAGGGATTATTACGGCTGGTACGACTAGCGATGGAAGCTATTAGCCGTTAAAATCTTTTTCATAGTTTAGATTATGCCGATCCCAGGAACATATTTTGTTTCTTTGGTTTTTTTCCCTCCAATGTTCAATCTGGAAGGGAAGAAAGGAAATTGGATGGCCTGGATCTTTCTGCTGCATACCAATCAAAATTTCATATTTGAACAGCAATGCTTCAGCTACTTTCTCATGCAAATAAGGGCACGGTAGTGATGTTATTGATTGAGGCTTCAGACAGAGACTCACAGGAATACAAATGCCACATACTACACGGGTGATCAGAACTACAGCTACAGCTGAAGAAATAATATTTGTAAAAAACAATAGTGGAAATCTAATGCCATGATTTGTTTATCTTTCTAGATTTTTTTCCTTTCACGAGGCAGTTGTTGATTTGTTATTTTAATGTTCATATGGGGAAATCTAATGAATGGATACCAAAAATGACCCCACTGTGATGTACCTTGTTCAAGCAAATTCTAAGGAGAGTTGAAGAGATGGCAATCTCAGGTATATTATATGCTTATTGTACATTCTACTATTTATCATTCAGTAATCCCGTTTTAAATGTTTTTTAACTTTCTTGTTTTTTTCACTTTTTTGGTTTTTTGCCTGCAGTTTTTTCAGTTTTCTGCTTTTGCAATTTGGGACGGTTTGCTCAAAATAGAAAGAAGTAGGCAGCAGTTAGGAAGAGAATATGTATAGTGCAAAATTGAAATAATAGTGTGCATATAGTTCCGGTTAGCGGTTTCCCTGATTTATTTTTTAAAAGGTTTGTGGAATTCATAGTACCTATGTTGGACTCTTGGTTGTTTGTACTAAATTATGTACTAATTTTGTTTTTCTCTCTGATTTGGTGGCAGTGATCTTTGTTTATATACAAATTGTTCCAGTGCTTCATGCTACCTTCTTGTTGATCTAACAGGTAAAGTCTTTTTAGTTAGTTCTTTAGTACATTAGCTGCTAGTATGAAACTTTTCCCTAGTTGTTTGCTTATTTTCTTTCATTCTTAGTTTCAGATCTTATCAAAAAAAATCTTTTTTCCTAATGGAATCGTAGTTAAATTTTCCATATTGTCGAACGTTGATAATGAAAGTCTTTTTTTTTTTTTTTTTTTTTTTGAATGGAAAATCTTTTTTAAATTATAGTTGTCTTTGATGTTGCAAAACAACATTTATGTTTTGTTCTATCAAATCTTCTTTTTATATTTTATATTGGAAAATCCCTTTTTCAGTAAGAGGTCAATTTCTTTAATATCTTTTAGGACTTTAGATATCAACAATATATGTCAAATATGGTGGATCTGTTCCTTTTTGTTTTAATTTGGTTAGCAAACAAGTGAAGAGTTTTGAAATTGCTCTGATTTAATATGCATTTTTGAAATCTCAGAACTTTTAATTTTTGAACTTGGTTTTAGCAATAAGCAATCGTAGGTGTGTATTGCTTTTGATGTATCGATTCCTTAACATTTATAGGAAGTAGTTACCCTAGTAAGTTTTGTCACAATTATACTGTTTATTACCAAAATGAATGTTTTATATATATATATTGATTGCCATTTGCCACTTTGGAAATAATTTATTCTCAACTGCCATGACATCTCCCTTGGGATCTTGAACTTCATTAGGAGTTTTATCTTTGTAATCCCACATCAAACTCAATGCATTTTCCCCCCAAAAAGAAAAACAATAAAACAATAAACAAAACCCCTTTCTCCCATCACAGTCATCAGTTTTGGAATTAGTTGGGAAAGTTTTCGTATAAAATTTGACCAAAAGCTCTTACCCTGACACTACTTTCTAGCATTTCACTACTCAATGTTAATTGAAAGGGTGTCTTGATTTACAGGTGTAAACAAATGGAGTAACCGTGGCATCAGCATCAGCTTTTGAGTTAGAATAATTAGAGCAATCTTGAGTTATTTGCTTCAATTTTCTTGGTCTCAGTGGGTGTTTATTTTCATCAGCTCTTTTCAGGAAATTTTGTAATTTATAATTTGTACAGTAGGGTAAATAAACACATAATCCCTGTACATGTAATTTGTGCTTACACGCTTTAACATGTTCAACAATAGAACCATTTGTTTCGGTTAAGCAATAAAATTTTACGTCTCCAGGTTGCTTACATGCGGGTATTAGAATAGCAATGTAATGAAATGAATGACTATGCTCTTTGAAATTTTGATTGCAGCAGAAAAATATAAATTGTGTACTGAGATTTTTTAATTTTTTTGATGTGTATTGAGAAGGTATTCAGTATGTGTGTACTAATGTTGTGTTTGGTTGGGAGATTTGGAAAGAGAAAGGAAAAATGTGTGTAAAATTAGGTGAAATGTAAGTATATTTTATTGGCATTTCACTTATTTATTTATTTTTTTTTCAAATTTCTTCACAAATTCTCTAATCAAACTCTTGATGTGAAAATAAAATTACCTGCTAACAGAGTTCAACTACATATATTATTTTGACAAATAATAAAATACCCAGAGGGGGGTGGGGTGGTGTATACAATAACTTAGTCAAGCACAAAAAAGCAATAAAGTCGGCTATGACCAGAAATTGTCGAGTAATCAAATTCAGAAAGCAATAAAGTCGGCTATTACCAGAAATTGTCATGGAATCAAATTCCTCCTAATATATATTGAATTGGAGCAAAAAAACTACCAAAGCACAACCAAAGGAAGCAGCTAGTTAAAGGAAAATCATGGCATTTTGTAATACAAATTCACTGTATATATTTTGGGTTCTCCTTGTCTCTTTCCAAAAACTCGTGGGTGATCAGATCTTCAATCCTCTCCTTGATTGCCTTGTGATTAGGCTGCAAAGGCACCGGTGAGTATCAATTAGAAGATAGGAGTCATACCAATTCAGGTAATAGTAAACTTGCAGCTTGTACCACAACCTTATTCCATAACTAATTGCTCAACTATTGACCTACATGACTAGTATGCCAGTTGGCATAACGATCAAAAACTATTTTTCATTTAAATTATTTAAGGGCTTTGTCGCCAGCTTCTCAATCTTCCTGTTTAATTAGGGTTTCAAAAAAAGAAAAAAGAAAAAAATGTTAACATAGTGTCTGATTCATTGGAATGAAAGTCGAATAGAATGATTATTTCATTAGAATGTCCATCTTCACGCTTGGTTCACTAAAAAAATAGCAGAAATTCATTTACAAATAGAATCATCATTTATCATTGTAAATGAATGATCATTCCATAAAAAAATTAAGGAATGAACACTCTTTTAAACTTCCATTTTACTTACATTCCAGTCATAGGATTAGAGTAATCCTCTATGTTTGCTGCCAGCTTTTAGGATTGGTCTCGTATTCTTTGCATTGTTTTGATACTTTTCAATAAAGTTTGTTTATTTATTAAAAAAATATTTAAAAAAAAAAAAAAAAGGATTAGAGAATATGTTATACCTTCTGTGCGGATTAACTGCTCAACACATTCCATCACTTACTGTTGATAGCCCAATACTTTGTGACTCTTCATTATGCGCACAATTGAGGCGTCAATAGCATAACGTCTATCCTTGTCAATATCTTCAACCACCTTCTTCCTTTCATCCACTGGTAGTAGAGGAATCTGAACAGAAAGGCAGAAAGGTCTGAATCATCAGAAAAACTCCAAACGAGAGAGAGAGAGAGAGAGAGAGAGAGAGAGAGAGTCTCTAACCTGATTGTCCCTCATTTTGTCAGTAAATTTGGGGTTTAACTCAAAATAGTCAATTGGAGTGACAGTTTCAGTGTCTGGTTCCTTACGAAGAATTTTGTAATCAGCACATGACAGAGATTGAAACACTCGAACTAAATCATCATCAGCCAAATTTAGTTGTCTTGATTTCTGAATAACTCAAACTATCTGAAGCATTGAATAGGAGAAGAACCGAGGCCTGAAAACCATGAAGTGTGTAAGGGCAAATTTAAATCCCCACATTATACAAGTCAGCGTACACTTCAAATAGAAATTTACCTGATAAGTTCCCACCATCAGCTCTATAGCTTTCTGCTCAAACTTGCTGTTTATGATGCAGGTACTCAATGAGTAAATCCACGTAAGCTTCCTATGCTTAGTTTTTGTTTGATAGAATTCCTTGAAAACCTCAACAGACTTCACCTGTTGGAGGAGAGCGGGGTAGTTGGGTTAGATAATTCTTTATTTATCAGCAGGAAACGCAGAATTAACGGCCACAAAAGCTTAATGCAATCTGCAATAAAAAAAAAACTCAGGAAAGCAGTAAAACCTACAATCTCTGCAGGGAGACTTAGATATGAGGATTCATACATTGGCCAGAATCCAGTAGCAAGGATGGTAACAGTCAAATCAATCCCAGGATTTGCATTTGAGTTTTTCTTAAGATATTCCTCAAAATGGTTCTGATTCTCACTTGCCAATGTCGAATCTGTTGCCTGGAAGATGAAAACAACAAAATGTCAATTAAAGCACAAATGTGCAAGAGAGAGAGAGAGAGAGAGAGGGAGAGAGAGAAGGAAAAGAAAGGAAGATCAATTGTAGTTGAACAATCATGAGCAACTCACCATCCTCTCCGTCTTTGATATGAACTGCCAACGTTGCTTCAGCTTTGACAGGATAATTCTTTCATGATTATCATTAGCACTCTTGTCAAAAAGAAGATGAAGAGAACGCTTTTTCCTGCCAGCAGTCAGACAAAAAAAATAGAAAAATAAGTGCTAAATTGACTCCTTGAAAGATAAAAAAAAGGGGAGGAAAAATTGGTATCCAAGACAAACTTGAAACCATATAAAGGAAGGAAACAGCTTACCTGTAGAATTCAGCGAAAAGGTCTTTATCGCTAATATAAGAAGCAACTTCACTACCTGCAGAAACAAAAGAAAGGTTAAAAACTACCATGAAAAATCAATAAGTTCAACCAAAAACAAAGTTGAAATGAGAAAACAAGGAGACTACCTTGTCCAATGTGTCCTTGTTGGCTTCATCACTCCATTTTTCACTCCCATCCAAGGTTCTAAATCGCGGTATCGGGTAACGTAACGGTATTGATCGCGGAGTATCGGTATCGGTAGTATCGATCGGTACGTATCGGGAATCGGGTGTCGCGGTGGTGAAATTTTAAAAATCATTTTAAAGGTTTTTCAACTTTTTCTTTCCCGTACCGGTCTGAACCGGTGAGTATCGGCTTGTCGCGGCTTGTGTAACGGCTTGTGTAACGCTTACAGGCCGATACGTACCGGGACTCGGCCGATACTCGTGCGATTTTTAATCTCAGTGGTATATCGGCCTGTATCCGTCGCGGCACCCCATTTTTCCGATACGTATCGGCCGATACGTAGCGTATCGGCCGATATTTAGAACTATGCTCCCATCCTTGAGAACAGGGACGGAACTAAAATAAGACTATAAGGGGCCATGGCCCCCCTGCTTCTGTGAAAAATATGGTTTGTCATAGCATTTTAAAAATATATCTCATTTTGTACATAAAATGGCCCCCAGTATAAAAAATATATATGTCATTTTTCTCCTATCTTGCGCTCTCTTTTTATTTTGTAGCAAAAAACTTTATCCTATTAGAAATTACTTCTATGGTGTTTGAATTTTTTTGTGTATATACATAATTTATATATCATATTGTACATACATGTGTATATGTATATTGTGAAAATTTTTTATTTATCTTTTGGCCCCTTCGATGATGAAATTCTGGTTTCGTCCCTGCTTGAGAATATTATCACAAAATGAAGCCAGCAGCTCAGCGCTTGAGAAGCCAGAAATACTTTCATTGCAGAATACCTCAAAAGCTTCTTTTAGGGCCTATGGAAAAATCTTAGGGGGGAATGACAGAAAAGGACCCACAAGAAACTCCCCAAAACAAACCTTGTGAAAGAGAGAGTGGTTTGCAAAAAAATCATTCACATATGCCATACACTTGTCATGCAGCTCAATAACTTTTCCGACAAAGACCTGAATAAGAGACAATGCATCAGTTTCTACGCTTTCAAGCTGCAGCTACAATAAATACCAATAGATACAAAATGTACAAGCTACGAAAGAATTACTTGCTCCTGTGAGCCAAGCCCATTCTCTGCCTGTGGAGAGAAATAGTTGGTAGCACTTGGCATATGCAATCACATTAATTGCAACTACGTGAGAAGTTTCTAACTAGCAGCCGCCTCAAAGATATCAGGAGGTTCCTCACAAGTAAGGAAACTTACAAAAATACACCTAGTGACAGAGACTACTAGAGGATATTATGACCTAAATTTAAAGATTATGTTCAATCTGTAAGGATTTCTGAATGATCTGTATATTGAACTTGTACGTAATACAATGATTACAACCAATATTTTTAGCAATCCTAAACCTAATCTATAATAGGAAATAATCTTATACAATCAATCAAATATATTCACAATCAACCTAATTGACATATTGCCATAATTACGTAATATTCTATTTCCATAATTATATATCCTTACACCCCAGCTCAAACTCAAAGTGTTTAAGCAAAAAACATTGAGAGTTTGCCAAGAAGAAGCTGAAATCGAGCAGTTGTGTGTGTCTTCGTAAAGAAATCAACAAGTTGCAATACCGAAGAGACGAAAGAAACCGAGATGGAGCTAGACTACAGATGCTAACGTACAAAATGACAATCAATCTCAATGTGCTTTGTTCGCTCATGAAAGACAGTGTTATGTGCAATCTGAATAGCACTGCGGTTGTCACAGTAAAGGGAGGTCGGAGAAGACTGAGGGACACCTAAATCAGTCAAAAGACAACGAAGCCAAACAATCTCAGCAGTGGCATGAGCCATAACACGATGCTCAGCCTCGGCAGTGGAACGCACAACAGTCTGTTTCTTGCTCTTCCAAAAATCAAGGAATCACCAAGAAACATGTAGAAACCAGAAGTGGACTTGCGATCAGTGACATCACTAGCCCAATTAGAATCAGCATAAGCTACCAAGTCCAAAGAGGAAGTAGAAGACAATAGTAAACCCTGAAATATAGTACGTCAGAGATAACAAAGAATCCGAACCAAAGTAGCCCAATGTGTAGAACGAGGAGCAGAAACGAACTGACTAACCACATAAACATCATAGGCAAGATCAGGGCGAGTAACCGTCAGATAGACTAAGTAA